CACACAGTTGCTATTGCAACTTTTTGCAAGGTTGTTTCACTGAGAGCAGTTCACATCACAGGGGTTCTGAACTACACAGTGGACTTCCTGTCGAGTCAGAAACTCAGGTCAGGTGACTGGATGCCGAACCGTCGGACGGTGGCTCAGATTTGAAGTGTTTTCAGCAAGGCGGACGTAGGTCTCTTTCCGTCGCAGGGATCGACCCAATGTCCCCTTTGTTTCTCCCTGTGTCATCCAATACCTCTGGGGATAGAGGATTTTGCTCATCCGTGGCTGGATCTCAGACTGTACGTGTTTCTGCCGGTCAAGTTGATTTGGACGGTCTTGTGCAGAGTGAAAGAGTGCGGGGTTCACCTCCTGTTGATAGTCCTGTTTTGGCCATCCCAGACTTGGTTTTCGGAGCTGGTCTCCCTTGTGGAGTGCGCCCCATGGGAGATTCCAGTCAGGAAAGACCTGCTGTCCCATCTCCAGGGCAGGATCTGGCACCCTTGTCCCGAGATTTGCAGGCTGTGGGTGTGGCCGATCAAGGGTGATCGGTAGTAACCTCTGGTCTACCTGCTGATGTTCCTGAGAATAAGAGAATAAGGATCATTCCACTAGGAGGCTTTATTTTTCCAAGTGGAAGGTTTTTGAGTGTTGGTGTTCGGCTCATGTAGTAGATCCAGTCAACTGCCCAATTTGTTCAACACTGGAATTTTTGCTGGAGAAGTTTGCGGCTGGAGCAGTTGCCACAACTTTGAGGGTTTATGTCGCAGCTATCGCTGCTCGTCAGGATTCGGACAAAGTCCCCTTAGGTAGGCATTGTCTGGTCTCCGTTTATGCGTGAGATCAGGCATCTGATACCTGCGTGCCTTGTCAGTGTTCCTTCCTGGGACTTGTCTATTGTCCTGGAGGGCTTATCAGAGTTGCCTTTTGAGCCTTTGGAGGCTCCCAACCGGATTCTGACCCTTAAGGTGATGCTTCTATTGGCACTGGCTTCTATCAAGCGCGTAGGGGATTTGCAGGCTCTCTCTGTGAGTGAATCATGCATGGAGTTTGCTCCAGGCCTTGTTAAGGTATTTTTCTCATTTGGGTTTCTCATTGGGTTAGGGACGCTATCTCGCTTGCATATGAGGTGCGAGGTAGAGGTCTACACGGGTCCAAAAATACGGGAACGCGAAGAGACCTGTAAATGTGCTAAACTGAACTGACCCGGACCCGTCTATTATTTTGAAAGTTGGACCCGGGCCTGTGCAGAACCGAGAAAGGCCAAAATTGTACTACCCGGAACCGACACAGACCGTCAATTATTTGAAAGATGGACCCAAACCCGGCCGTGAAGACACAGACCTGATTGGACCCGATCGGCACATATTCCACAGCAAATTGCTATTAACAAGTCGATAAACAAGTTGCGAAAATTAAACTTTTTGTCTTACCTAATGTAAGAAGCTTTCTCCCTTGTACCTGACTGTGATGCACACAATCCTCCTTGCCAAGAAAGTTCCAGCCGTGTTATTCCTCTCTTGCCAATTGAAATGCGTAATCCACTCATTATTCCAGTTTCAAAAGTCCACTTGCTGTCACGGTGACGGATGACAAATGTGACTTTGCAGTTTTGCATTTTTTGTATCTCGAGTCAACTTGCATAATTATTTAGACTGTTTGCCCATTTGGATTATAATAACGATTGCTCGTCCAGTGCCATGGCTGCTGACGTTAGCTTTACTTATTTGCCATCATCTCTGTGCTCTCTGAGCCGAACATTTTAGATATAACAACAAGACGGTTCATTCATAATATTATTTAAAAAATAATCAATAATAACTTACATCACTCATGAAGGTATCCATTATCACTGTGCATGTGCATTAACTCCGCCCACCCTGCTTCTGATGACGTCGCTCGTGTTTTGTTTTTTTTTCCCCACCTTATTTCAAATTACTGACTCACACTTTTCTCATCCTAATTTTACAAGTTGAAAGTTACAAAACAACACACGCACAGCACTGACTGACTCTGATAACATCCGGGTGTTCTCCGAGTCCGATCGACTCGGGTATTACACACAATGTTAAACAGACCCGGGACATGAAGTAATAGATTGGGACCCAACCCGGACCCGGCTGACCATTTAAAATATAGCCCCGAACCCGTACGGATCCCAGGTCGGGTCCCGGGTCCTCGGGTCCTCCGTGTAGACCTCTAGTGCGAGGCCTCTTTGCAACATTAGGCATTTGGGCTCACTCTACCAGGAGTTTTGCTTCCTCTCAAGCTCTTTTCAGAGGAGTTACCCTGGAGGATATCTGTTACCGCTTTTCCACTGGGGCTGGTGCCGTAGCTGGAGTCGGTGCTCAGCCAAGAGTGGCCCTCATTCAGAACCGGCTCACGTTTCCACTGGTAGGGAGCAGATCCTTTTCCTTATGTCACCAACCTTTGATAGGAATCGCTTGTTATCTCTTGCAGAAGGAGAAAGTTGATCTATTCTGCCGACCACTGCTTAACTGACATATTTAATTGTTGTGTTAATGTTGTTAATTTACCGGAACTCTGATGGCTTTTAAAAATAGTGCCTTTCAAACTGCGGTCTGTAGTGGAAACTCCGCCTACCAACGTCATAGGTTCCCTTGTTCGAGACCAGCAAGGTTTCGGGGGCCGGTTCTGAACCAGGATCTGGGCACTGGCCCAGGATTTTTTTGAGTGGAAAAGTGCAGCCCGGTTCCCAATTGGGCTCCGGCTCCGGCACCAGGACTGGTGAAAAAGCGGTATGTGTGATGCCAGGCTGGTCCTCCCCTCACAATTTTATCAGGTTTTACAACCTTGATTTAGATGCGGCTCCTGGTTCCCGGGATCTTTCTGCTTGGACCAGTCATCTGGTTTTATCCTGGCCTATTTTGTTTCGAGCCAGAAGTGCAGTGCTTAGCTTGGTGCATTCGTGCAGAGTTCACTGAACCTATGTAAATGAACATCTCGGGTTACTTGTTTAACCCATGTTTCCTGAATAGGGAATGAGACGCTTCTTCTCAAGAAAAGACCCCTCACACATGTCTCGTATAGGACTTTATCTCAACAATGTTTCCCAAGCAATCAACTTCTGAGCAATAAAAGTTTATTTTTATAAAAGATATTTCAGTATCCTCATCCATGCCATCTTTATGGCATGCTCATCTGTGCTGACACAAAAAAATAGCACACAAATGCCCTGCTAGATTGGTGTGACAGCTTGCGAGACGAAATTGAGTTGTGCTGTGGAAGAACATTGTATTTTTTTATTTAAATTGCAACTGAATGGAAACAGGAATGCATTGATTATAAAATATAATTCGCTTACACGCAACAATATGTGTGTATCTAACAGGCCAATTCTGTTGGACAAATAATTGCTCTCAAATGGAAAATTTAATTATATGAACTCCATTTGCATTGATTAAATCCACATGCAATAATGTGATTATGTAAAGTAATTTTACCCATGCCTATACCACCGTTTGTGCTGGCATGCATATTTATACTTAAATCTTTGTGTGAATTTATGCATTTATTAATGACAGTTTTTGACATTTAGACATTTGCATTTATCAGCAACCACTCATCAAAACAGAATTTAAAATCGGAATATATATATTCAGATTTATAATTGTTTATTAGTCTGTGAGCAGTCTATGGAGTGGCGCTCTGAGTTTTAAGATGGATTAATTCAGTCCTCTGCTCTCATAGCATGACACAAAACCAGCAGAGCTTAAAGCAAAGAGGCTTTCTCAGAGTCCTGACCACGGGCCAAACATCCAAGCACTGAGAGAGTGAGATTTGGGCATTATCACAAGGCCGTTTCTTTAGTTTCAGACTGTGGTCTTGCTCAGTGCCAATAAAGAGAAGTGCTGCGGCAAACTCAATACTGATTGCAGCTGTTTTCTGCTTAAATGTATCCTTTCTGTTCTGTTCAATAACTGGTTACAACTTTTGTGTTGTGGATCAAACTGCCAAAGAACAGCACCATGTAAAAACTGAATATTTTCTATATTAAATTTAGCAATATTAAGCGAGTTTATGCATAAAACAAGAACAAATATTTTTCAATGGGGACAGAAAATAAACTTGTTTTTGCTTTGAAAAGGTATGTTTTTCTAAACCCACTAGATGATATTTGTTCTTGATTTAATCATAAACTCTGGAATTTCTTTGTGTCCCCTTCCATTTATTCCTTAAATTTTCTTAACTTGGTCTTAAATGTCTTTACAAAAACCTTAAATTTATCTTCACAAAACATGCAGAAACACTGAAATAGTTTCTAACATTATTTGCATCTAGAGTAAATAGTATTTACTGCTATTTGCACATTCTGTACCTTTATGTCTTGTTAACAAACCCTTTTGAAGGTTAAATGGGTTTCACACACTTCTTTTCAGTGCTGAAACAGTCTAGTAACTGAGATCCTGAGAACTTCTGACAGATTTTTGACTGTGAATTTCATCTAGACAGAGAACATTTTTTGTTTGTTTGTTTTTTGCATGATTCAGAAAATGAGTCCTAAATTTCGTAAGTCCTCATTTATTTTATATTTTAGTTTGACAAGCTACATTTTGCTGTTTCTTTTCTTCTAAACAATTTTTAAGAAATAAACAGTTTAACCAGTGTTCAAGCAGTTTGTCAAGCAAACTGACCCCAGCACAACAACAGCAGAGCCACCTGATTAGACTTTTTGTGTTGTAATTTCTCAATTGGGAACCTTATTGTCTTTAGATAGTTTCTGGGAATGTTAAAATTCAAAACCTCAACTCGATGTCTGATGGCCATTTCATTCCTATAAAAAGCAAAACCTTATCATCTTGAAACAAGGCCTTACCGCTTAATGGCAACCCTAAACCAAGGAAAGCCTGAGGGCTTTTACAAAATCATCTTTCCCAGAAAACTAGGAAAGAAGCCTTGAGGCCAAATCAAGTATTCTCTCACATGTTCATATTCAACATGTTTTCATTTGAAAGTTGTGAATGGTTGATTGTTGTGTCTCTTTTCTACTCTAGGAAGTGAAATACTTCCAGTTTCCTGGAGAGCTGCTGATGAGGATGTTGAAGATGTTGATTTTGCCTCTGGTCGTGTCAAGGTAAGGCTTGATAATGCTCTCGATGGATAACAAGCTGATTTTATGTCTGCAGATCTTCATTCCTAGCTTGAAGAATTATATTTATGTTTGTGCTACACTACCGTTCAAAAGTATTTGATCAAAAATACAGTAAAAACAGTAATACTGTGAAATATAATATTATAATATATTTTACATTTAGATTTATTCCTGTGATGGTAAAGCTGAATTTTCAGCATCATTACTCCAGTCTTCAGTGTCACATGATCTTCAGAAATCATTCTAATATACTGATTTGCTGCTCAAGAAATATTTCTGATTATTATCAATGTTCAAAACAGTTGTGCTGCTTCATATTTTTGTGGAAACTGTGATGTTTTTTTTCAGGATTCTTTGATGAATAGAAAGTTATAAATACAAATCTTTGGTGACATTGTAAATGTCTTTACTGTCACTATTGATCAATCTGGTCAGCCACTTAAACTATATCTTGACCCTACTAGAAACCACGTTCCAAAAAAAATCCTGTCCTTAAACTGCTTTTAGCTGGACACTTTTAGAAAGGATGTGTTGAAAACAACACAAACATTTTTTTCTTCCTAGTATACCATTGTGTCTAGATAAGGACAACCGATTTTGTGTTATTTGAACTCAACCAATGTGTTAATTCTGCCAACACAGAAAGCGTGTTGAAATGTTTTACACACTAATGTGTTATAGCTACCCAATTTGTGTCAAGTATGTGTTATTTTTCATCCATTCACATTTTTACCAATTAATTTCCATGACATTTGAGACAATATACATGACCTAATTCATGACCTAATGATTATTTTACAAGTATACATGTAAAATAAGAATAAAAATCTCAAATCTATCATATCATATGCTAACTAAAATGAATGACTATTAATGCTACTTGTTTGCTTTCTATTTGTTTTAATACCAAGTACAAGCTGCGACTGCCAGACGTTACTCCACACAGAGAACATCACTGAATTTTGTAATTTGTTTAACCAATATTGTCAATTAAACTCAGAACCTGAATTTCACTTTGCAAACTAACAGTAGCAGGCTATACAGTTACAGAAATATACAGAAATTGAATAAACTCTAAATAAAAAACAGATTAATCCTTAAAATGAATTACAAAAGTGATTCAGGAGCAGTGAGTGAATGTCTCTTTGTCTTTTGTTGTTTGATTAATATTAATGACAGACAGACAGCACAACTTAATTAGACAGCTTTCAGAAGACGAATACACGAATTCAGTATACTGATTCACATGCGTTTTCTTTCTCAACGGTTTACATTCACATAAGACAAAACCGAGTGTTTACAAGGATACTCGCCAGGACGGCCATTTTGACATGATTTTGTGTGTATTTAGATAATTATTGAAAAATAACTCAATTTGGTACTCGTGAGGTGTTTGCGAGGTGGCTTTATGTGTGCGCTTTGGATGTGACTGTGAGCCCACAGAAAACCATCTCTGGAGCATGCGAGTGCCAAATGGTTTAAAAAGAAGTGCAAATGATAGACTTTTGTGACGATGCAACAGTGACCCGATTAAGTGGCAAATCTGTCAACTGTCCCAAAACGCGTGCAAAAGTCTTGAATAGCAGCATGCAGCAGCTCGCATGTAGTGCAGAGGAGATGCGCTCACGTGAAGCCATTTTGAGAGCATAAGTGAGGGATATGTGTAAATGCCCCTTGGCCTTCAGACTACAAATGATCACTGGCTTCATCTCACATGCCTGCCATCAGCTCATTTTAATAAACCAATTTCTTTGTCATTAAACAAATTGGCCCAGCTGTGCTAAATTGAGAGCCTTTCTTGATTGAGCCATGTGCATCATGCTCACAACAAATACCCTTTACACAAATACCCAGCTGCATTGCAATTATCTGCGATCTTACTAGAAAAATAAGCAACCAGATATGACAAAACAAGCCCCAAATAAGTGACATACCACTGAAAGTAGCCAAAATAAGTGACCCCTGGTTTCTGTGCATTGGTATAGTGCAATATGGCTGCCCATGTTATGTAGGGTGAACACACGTGTCATTTTCCCAGGACGCGTACTGGCCAGGATTTCTATATTGCCTAAAATATCTAGGTTTTGGCTTTGTTTGCGTGTGCAGACCGATCGGTGTATGACATCAAAATACCATACAGACGGTTCCTTATGCTTTCAAAATGCTCTCGAGGTATTTTGATGTCATACACCGATCGGTCTGCACATGCAAACAAAGCCAAAACCTAGATATTTTAGGCAATATAGAAATCCTGGCCAGGACGCGTCCTGGGAAATGGCACGTATGGTCACCCTAATGTTATGAAACTTTCAAAGCACATAATCTGGGAATAAAAGATAATAAAAGGATGATTTGATGATGTGTAACACAGCCATAAACTTGAAACGTCCAATTTTAAGACATAAACACTGGTCCACTGATGCTGAGAGGAGTGTGAACCGCATAGCAGTGGGTTAAAGGGTCTGGTATCAATGGAAACAGGAGCTGTGTTAATAGTCCACTGACACCATTTCTGAGAAAATCCCATTCAGTTCCTGGAAGCACAGAGCTTTTGATATGTTAGCATATATTTAAAGTATCTCGCATCAGTGAGGAGAAGAGCACATGCTGGTATTCATATGACTATTCATATATCATATATATACAGTGGAGATCAAAATTAGAGAACAATCTATAAATACTTGATTTTTTTCAGAAATATAGTTAATATACAGTGGGTACGGAAAGTATTCAGACCCCCTTAAATTTTTCACTCTTTGTTATATTGCAGCCATTTGCTAAAATAATTTAAGTTAATATTTTTCCTCATTAATGTACACACAGCACCCCATATTGACAGAAAAACACAGAATTGTTGACATTTTTGCAGATTTATTAAAAAAGTAAAACTGAAATATCACATGGTCCTAAGTATTCAGACCCTTTGCTGTGACACTCATATATTTAACTCAGGTGCTGTCCATTTCTTCTGATCATCCTTGAGATGGTTCTACGCCTTCATTTGAGTCCAGCTGTGTTTGATTATACTGATTGGACTTGATTAGGAAAGCCACACACCTGTCTATATAAGACCTTACAGCTCACAGTGCATGTCAGAGCAAATGAGAATCATGAGGTCAAAAGGAACTGCCTGAAGAGCTCAGAGACAGAATTGTGACAAGGCACAGATCTGG